CTGAATACTTAAAAATGGCCTGGCCAGGAAGGGGGTGAAACACCTGGTCTTCAAGTGGTTATAAAAATAAAAGTAACGTAAAAAAAAAATTCAAAGTCCCTGCGCACGCACATACAGCACAAACACGGGCCGGATGCGCCTCAATGCAAAAAGGAAAATTGTGCCACGCGTTACATATTGTTGCGAGCATCGGAGTGAGAGCAATAATTCTAGGCTCATCAATCACTGTTAACAATAAACTGATGAGCAGTAAAAGCATTTAAACCGTTGCCTATGCGAAATTTTGGTTATTGTAGTTTTTGCGGTTTTACGGACGCAGCAATTTAAGGCTTGATATGTTTGGTATCTATTTACTCGACGTGACCCTATCTTTTATATTTGGCCAAATTGGGTATTATATTCTGTTTCTATGCATTAAATTTAATTTAGTGTATTGTATCCTAAAAATACTTGTTTGATAAACATTTGTGCAAATACCTTGTGACATAAAAAATTGCAACTAAAATTTTTTTTTTCTACAGAGCCTCTGCTTTTAGAAAATATATCATTGTTTGGGGGTCTGAAGCTGTTTTCTAGCCAAAACTTCAGATTTCATTGTGTGTGCAAATGTAAGAAATTGCTCCGGGCAGCAAGTGGTTTAACACGTTCAGCTGGCTGAGTTCCAGCGCTTTCTGGGGACCTCAGGCAGCTTGCTGAGGACCTTGCAGTAGCTGTCCTTGGCAGTGCCGGTCTAGCCGCACATCTTCTCCTTCCCGAGACCGACAGCCCAACACCTGCTGTACTGCGCTGGAGAGCTTAATGCCTGGCACCCACCGGTAGAGCCATGGGGAGCCGCACATACAGCCCTGGTGAGACACGATCGTATCAATAGCCGGTAGAGCCCTGGAGAGCCCCACATGCAGCCCTGGTAACACCCAAATGCAGCCCTGCAAAGCCTAGCATAGACAGGACAGCCCTGGAGAACCCCACATGCAGTCCTGGTGAGATGCGAAAGCAGCCCTGGAGAGCTCCACATGCAGACCTGGTGAGACGCGAACGCAGCTCTGGTGACACCCAAATGCAGCCCTAGTGAGACCCAAATGCAGCCCTGGTAAGACGTGAATACAGCCCTGGAGAGCCACACATGCAGACCTGGTGACACCCAAACGTAGGCGAGATCTGCATGCAGCTCTGGAGAGACTCGCATGTAGCCCTGGTGAGACACGAATGAAGCCCTGCAGAGCCAAGCAATAGACAGGACAGCCCTGGAGAGCCCCACATGCAGACCTGGTGAGATGCGAACGGAGCCCTAGAGAGCCCCACATGCAGACCTGGTGAGACGCGAACGCAGACTTCGTGAAACCCAAACACAGCCCTGGTGAGATCTGCATGCAGACCTGGTGAAACCGCACACAGTCCTGGTGAATGCCTGCAGACACCGCCGCACCTCTGAGTGACCCTTGCAGCCCTTTTGGAGCCTGACATAACCTCCTGAGAACAGGTAAGTAAACTTTTATACTGCGGCTGCCTATTGTTCTTCTTTTATTGGTGTATGTCAAAGTACTAATCAAATGCAATAGAGAATGGCAAATCTCAGCAATCCATGATTGCTGGTTGCCATTCTCCATTGCTGTGTAATCATGGATTGAGCTACAGTTCTTCATAATTATAAAGAAACTTCCCTAAAATCACCAGTCTGTATTGTTTTAGAGAAAGTGTCACCTGTCCCTTTAAGAAAAAGTATTGGTAATTGGTATCGGTGAACACATATACAGGGCTGGATTTCCCACAAGGCCACCGATGCCTGGCCTTGGGGCAGTAGAGTGTAGAGGGGCAGTGCAGCCGCATGGCGGGTAGTTTTTTTTTCTACATTTAGCCCTGCTGCGGGCATTCAGGGCTAAATGTAGAGCGGGGAAGCCGGCGCTCCGTTTACTACAAGTGATCCCAGCGATGCTGCCGAGTGTCCTCACAGCCTTCCCAACTCAGCTTTTCACAAGAGAGACAGCACAGTGCTGTGCTCAAACTCCTGTATTGTAAATGCTATCACACAGAGGCTTGTTATCTCTTGTGTAATAGCAATAAAGTTAAGAGGAATAAAAAAAAAGAATAAAAATGTAAACTTCTTTTATAAAAAGTAAAAAATAAGAAATGATAATTAAACTAAAAAAAATTTAAAAAATAAAAAACTAATTAAGAAAAAAAAAATTTATAAAAAACTAAAAAAAAAAGTTAAGACAAATAAAAATGTAAAAAATTAAAATTAAAAAGTGATAAAGTAAAAAACAAAAAAAAACCCCAACCCTGCGACCTAGTTGCCATTCTGGAGGGGGGCGTGTTGGCGAGGAGGGGGGTGCATTCAGGAACCCGACCTCGGGGCAGTAGAGAGTAAATCCGGCCCTGTACATATAAAAAACAATTGTGAAACATTTGACTCAATATTTCAAACTACAAATCAATTATCCAACAAATGCAATAATAATAATAGAACCATCAAATAATGTGTAAGAAATATCCCAACGTGAAATAAGTAGAATAACTGTGGATAACAAATACCGTATTTTTCCGTCTATAAGACGCCCCCAACTTTTCTTACCCAAAATTCAGAAATAAATATTTTAAATGATATTATGCATCACACTTCTGAGCCAATCACTTTATTCAGCCGCTTTACCGGTATTTTTTCATTTTCTGAAATTTTTATGGTCACAGAATGCTCTGACATTACCGCTCTGGGCACTGTCTACACGCTCTCCCCAGCAACAGCTGACGTCAAGTAGAAAAGATTTATGATTGGAGGAGAACTGTTATCTTGTCTCTGCAATTCGCTCTCCCCAGCAACAGCTGACGTCAGATACAAAAGATTTATGATTGGAGGAGAACTGTTATCTTGTCTCTGCAATCCGAAGTTTCACTTGTGAGGCTAGTTTGCAGTGGTATCAGCACTTTCAAAACGGCGCCCCCCCCCCCGTGCATAAGACGCCCCTCTATTTTTAGGTAAGCCTTTTTATGAAAAAGTAGCGTCTTATACACGGAAAAATACGGTAAGTGTAATCTTCCAATCCACCATTCAAAATATGTAGATGAAGTCCACAAATGGAAAATAGTGTAATCTCCCCAAAAAAACACGTTACACCTCCGTGCAAGTGTAAGAAATCCACACTCACCAGATCCTAATGCTAAAGCTATCATATTTCAGATAAGCCAGAAGTGTTTTTTTCTCCTTAATCCTCCAGCATTTAATCCTCACACAGAATCCGGTCTCCAATCTACTGTGTCTCCTCAGCGTTCTCCAAGGAGCCAGGAACAGATGTATACCCAAATTCGTTTGCTTCTCTCTCACTTCTTAGATGGAATATGCGGCTCAAAGTAATGGATTAAAAATCTCCCATAGTGTTGTATGCTTTAAAATAGCATTTATTAAAAGACTAAAAAAAACACTTACAAACATAAAATCCAAATCGAGCAGAAAATCCTCCATGACGCCACTATCCACGTTTGTCGGCACGCTCCGCCCACTCTTGACTTTTTCACAAGGAAATAGTGTGCGATGGATTTTAAATCCATAACTTTGAGCCGCATACTCCATCTAAGAAGTGTGAGAGAAGCAAACGAATTTGGGTATAAACCTGTTCCTGGCTCCTTGGAGATCGCTGAGGAGACGCGGTAGATTGGAGACCGGATTCTGTGCGAGGATTAAAGAGAAAAAAGCGCATATCTGAAATATGATAGCCATTAGGATCTGCTGAGTGTGGATTTCTTACACTTGCACGGAGGTGTGAAGCACTTTTTGGAAGATTACACTATTTTTCACTTGTGGACTTCATCTACATATTCTGATTGGCGGATTGCCACTCATTTGTTATGAACTTTATCCAGTTATTCTACTTATGTCACCGTGGGATATTCCTAACACATTATTTGATGGTTCTATTATTATTACTGCATTTGTTAGAATGAGGAAAATTGATTTGCAGTTTGCGATATTGAGTCATATGCTTCACAATTGATTTTTCTATGTGTGCACATTGATAAGCGTGGCGATTTGTTTGAGTTGTATTTTAGAAGTGTTTCTCTATTTACACTGCAGTTGTCATCTATTCAATACTGGATTCGAGTGAAAATGGATCACCATAGCGCAGGTTAATATTGTTTTTTGTACAATTAGATTGTTGCACGTGTGGTGTGGTGAGATTAGCGCTGTCCCTATTGAAAGTTTTCCCCTCAGCGACAGCCATAACATTTGACTTTTCCCTCCCAGTGAAAGTAGCTAGGGTGAATCTCCCTAGCTGGGGCGTAAACCTGACCATTCTTCTAATCCTTTCCTGATATCCCTAAAACTAACATTAAAAAAAAAAAGCACGGGCCAGAGATTCACTTTAAAGCAACAAATGAAAAGCCAGGTCTTTAAAAACGAGGGATTCTGACTGGGGGGGGGAATTAAAAAAATGTGTCTGAGAGAAACTTTGTTCTCAACTGGAGTGCAGCCAATCAGCTTTCATATTTTCATTTTCGAAGCTGTGTGGAAAAAATGAAAGGTAGATGCTGATTGATTGCAATGGGCAATGGCAACAGTTGAGCTAGAACTTGTCTCTGTAACTGTTTCTCAATTCCCTCCAGTGTAGCACGGGGAAACCACCTGTGAAACCACAAGTCCCATCATGCCTTTGGGAGTCATACCTGTGGCTGTCTTGCCACATCTCATGGGACTTGTAGTTCCACCACAGTTAGAGTGCCAAAGTTTCCTATCATTGCAATCTCTCTCTTTCTACCTTCTAGTACAGGGGTGGGCAAAAGAAAGCCCTCCAGCTGTTGTGGAACTACAAATCCCATAAGACACTGCAGGATTCTCCCCACCACAGGCATGACTCGCACAGACAGATGCATGACGGGACTTGTAGTTCCACAGCACCTGGAGGGCCGAGTATGCCCACCCCTGCACTAGTATCCTTTCCACAGCAACGTCAAACACACACACATGCGGCACCCCTTGAAGTTGAGTTAGGACAGGGTGGGGCACTCACCCTAGCAGCTTGAGATGAGTAAGGGTCCTCAAAGAGAGCCCACATTCGAGCCTGCCATCTCCTCCAGCGAACTCTGGACCTGTCAGGCGTCTCCTCTACGCACAGCAACTCCGGAGTTGAATTCTTTTCGTCATCTGTATCCTCGGCTTCCACGTTTTCGAAAATATCCAGAGCCTCCTCCGCTTCCCGGTGCTGGCGGTAGGTCATCCAGCAACAGGGCTCCACATCGGTTTCGTCGATGCCCCAAAACGCCAACTCCTCCTCGAAGAGCGGTCCGCAGATGTCGGCCGGGCAGTGCAGCTTGCCCGTGCGGTAGTAATTGAGCACATAGGAGAAGATGCCGGGGTGCCGGTCAAAGAAATACTCATTATGCTGCGGGTCCAGATCCAAGTGGCTGGAGGTTTCGGGTTCCGCCAGCCACGCCAAGCGGGTCCCTGGCAGCGTCCTCAGCGTACTCCTGTAGGTCTCATGCCGAGTGCCCCCGACGTTGATGGTGATCTTGCCAGAGTCTTCCACCTTTGCCATCTCTTCCTTCAGACATGTTTTAGAGGATGGCTTGTTCCCAGACTTTCGTCCTCGGTAAGATGACACACACACCGAACTAATCATAGATTTTCCTCGGTTACCACACCTCTTGATGGTCGGTAGAGGACAAGCAAAGACCCCCCCCGGGCGCCCTTCCAACAGGTGATCGAGAGAGAGAGGAAGAGACGGGCGGCCAGAGCTCGGCGTTGGAGAGGGGAGTGACTCTGATGATGAGGAGGATGATTTGTCTCCGGCAATTGGAGAATCGGCTCAGCAATCGGAGACACCTACCACCAAAAAAAAGCCACTTCCCTGTGCAGGTAAGGACACAAAGCCAGGGGAGATGTCACACACACAAAACTCACAAAGTCAGTGTTGTCTCTCTTCTGTGCAACAAGCCGATCGAGCTCCTCAGTTTAATACTTCCCACACAAACATGGGAACCTGTTCCTTCCCAGGCAGTGCGTAGGCCTTTCTATTCACAAGTACGAAGTTACATACATTGGAGCTTTATTTCGATGGCGCTTTAATCATTGGCCTTCAAGTGAGAGAAACAACTTGTGCTTTACACAGCGATCGCAGCCGTACAAACGTGAGCAAAGTCTATAGACAGTGGGCAGCTTGTGGTGCGCAGGTGTCGCTGTCATCACAACACAGCCGTATCATATGCTGAG